ATTTTAACGCTGTATATACGCTGCTTCTGCTCTCCACAGATAGCCTGTGTATTCTAAGATCCAAGACGTGTCGGTGCTTCCGAAAAGCTCTCTTTGCTTGTCTCCTTGTGCGCACAGATGCGAGGATTAACTTGGCATTAAAACCAATGGCGCGTTCCAACGTGTGGCTAGCGAGGTGTGTTTATTTCACCTCTGTCCTCATCTCCCTTGCATTTATGAATATATAAATAGTCAGGTTAACCTGGGAACAGAGCGCTGTGAATAATTTGGAGATATTGTTTTCACCTGGGTTGAACCGTCACAAAATGAGTCAAGTTCTCCTGTCATATGTGTAATTAGCCAGGCTGCGATCGGCTGAATGACGTTGAACACGTTGCCGTTGGTGTGTATCAGATTATGGGGTGTGGTTTTTATGACTCATGCTTCCCTGAGCGCATATGTTTCAGGCCATTTCCACCACTCAACTAATTGATTGAATCATGTAATTGAATTTGGTCTTGAATGGAAAAACCAGGTACTACTCTCTCGCCCTTGCGTGTGACGCTAATTCTGTGCGTGTTTTGGTGCTTGGTGGCTGCTGTCCAATCTGCTCCATCGACCTTTCCTGATCTAGACCCACAGAGCGCTAGCTAACCGTAATGGATCAGCAGAGTGCAGGGAATCGTTGAAGGCAGCCAAGCACAGAAGCTCCTCGAGTGCGTGACGCACCTGTGCTTTTATCCCTTATCTCTGAAGGGCCTGAGGTTTCATAGCACTTCGCCTCGCGACTGTCTTCACTTACAGCGTCTCGAGATAAGGCCGCTGTGCACTCCTGGGAGAACTTTTATGGATTGGAGAGCTGTTGTGTTTCAACCTCTGAACAAGACTTGATTTTTTTGTTGTGTTGAATTTGTAATGAATTAAGGAGACCTCAATAATTACCTTTCCCAACAGGCAAAGCGGACGGACAGACGTGTGGCAGGCCAGACACATAGACAATGTCTAAGATATCTAAAGCAGCCAAGGCGGTGAAAAAGTTGGATACTGGAGGTGTGATCAGAGCAATTGTAAGGTCTGGACAGGCGGCTCCTGGGCCTCCACTGGGCCCCATCCTGGGACAGGTAAACTTTTAGACCTCTCTCTTTCACCATTGATTTTTATTTCTACTTCATTATTTTATTCATTATGTCCGTGGCCTTTGCTGTGCAGTGGTCCTTAACCAGGGGTACCTCAGCAGATTTTCAATTCATTTTTTTCCCCCAATTAATTTTAGCACATCCCATTTTTTAATGGGATTTTGTTAAATGACTGAAATAAGGTCTGTGGTTAACACAAGCTCAAGATCTTTCCATGTTTTATTATATGATATACAATACATCAGTAATACTTGTAATTGTTAAAGGGGTCATATGATGCGATTTCAATTTTTCCTTTCTCTTTGGAGTGTTACAAGCTCTTGGTGCATAAAGAAGATCTGTAAAGTTGCAAAGACTAAAGTCTCAAATCCAAAGAGATATTCTTTATAAAAGTTAAGAGTCAGCCACGCCTACCTAAAACGGCTCGTTCTAACACTCCCCCACATACCTACGTTACTATGTGGAAAAATTTGCATAACGCCGCCCAAATGTTCACGCAAAGAAAGAAGACGTAACTTTTATTCTCGCTGTAGTATTTTTGTTGCCGCCGCCATGTAGTGAAGGCACTGTGTGATTCGTTGTGAAAGCGAAACTACTTTGTTTGGACACATTTCATTACACCAAATACACAAAATAATGTTATTTTTAGCAGCATCATATGACCCCATTAAAGCTTTTACTTAGTGGCTAAATGGGACTACAGGTTTTGTTGGTGACATTAAACATCATCAAACCGGACAGGTAAACTCTTGTCAATTCACCTTTATTTCTGTAGTGCTTTATACAGTAGAGATGGTTTCGAAGTAGCTTTGCAGTATTAAACAGGAAACTAACAGAATCAATGATGCAAACTTCATCAAATATCACGTGATCTACTCATAAACTCAATTGTTTGCTTTTACAGCCTCACTGTGTTTATATCACACACTTGCAAACTATTCTAACTCAATTTTTAGGGAAAATATTTTTTAAATTAAGACTTAAGGCAAAATTAATAATTCATAAGTTGTGTAAATTTGTGAAGATTATCATGATGAACAAAGCAGGTGAAAATTATAAACATTTGTTGGTCACAGAGCTTATTTTCTGGAATAATCCAAAAGCCAATAGAAAAATCCTATTGGGTTTTTGTTTATGGAAAAAGGGAGATACTAATTTATGGGTTAGCCTACAAAAATATGTTTTTTTGTAAAAACGTCTGGAATCCTGAAATTAAATTGACAGAAAATAAGAGTGTCTGGCCTTTGAATATTGTTGCTTATGATGGTGGTCTTTGGAGGTAAAAAGGCTGAGAACCACTGCTCTAATGGTTAGGAAAGTAGCGAGAGCCCCACAACATGAACAATGCTATGTTACAAGCACGTCTGCTGTCGCTGCTCAACAGCTTTGCCCATTTCAAGTTCTGAAGAGTTGAATGTTCAGAAACAAACATCTGATTTCATATATTTACAGCCTCTAAAGGTTTTGTGCTTTTCTCCACCATAGGGACTATCTTGGGAAACTGTTTAGCCAAATGTTGACACAGGCTGACCTCTGCTCTCATATGTAAAGCACATTCATAACTAACAAGCTAATTACAGCTGTAATGATGTCATTACAGTCCCTTGCCCATCGTGACGATAATAAATGAGACACATTTTCTTCTGCCAATGCAAGTCAACCTGGCCTCCTGAGTGTGCTTGCCTGCTGAAGAAAGCTGTTGTGAACTAAATATGAGGTGTAATGAGCATCAGTCAAGCAGAGCAGCACCATATGTCAGTTAAACACATGCAGTCGCGTCTTTGTGCATGTGTCTACCCCTGCTCTTGTCAGCTCTGATGAGCTCTGTTTTGCCTTTGTGCCTGTTCTGCCATCTTTGGCTCAACTTTTATGTGTATTAAACTGTAAATAAATTGCAGCCAGCAGGCCTTCAGCTTACAGCTCTGGCCCTTTAATCTTCCCGCTTTCTCCTTCCTTCGTTTTTTCTCTCGTCTGCCTAACCACCCCTGACAGGGTAAGCGCATAGAGGTAGGCTGCCTGTCGGCCGGGGGGCAAATTTAAACAAACGAGAGAAATAAAAGAGGGAGCTCCGGAGGAGAGGGGGGAAGCTGACAGCTTCTGTGGAGGAGAGTAATTACAGTCCAGAGAGAAATTAACTCAGCCGGATGGAGGAGAGAAACAGAGGACAGAATAAAAGAGGGGTGTATAAGACAATAGTTCAAGTGTTTTGTACATCGAGACCAGGCAGACTAACACCATGTTTTTTCAGTGAGGTAAATGGGTGAATTTCTGAAACATGTCCACATCACATTTCACCCCTAAAAATCAAAAGAAAATCTATATATTTGTGAACCATTACAGGATTTTGCACTGAGACATTTTCATGTCAATAGTGGAATAATTTACCTGAAAATTATCATCATGTTTGATTGACTCACACTTTTTACTCTTATTTTCATTACTAAGAATTTAGGTGGGATGTGCTTGATTGTCCTCAAAATGCAAACAAAATGACTATTTTATTATGCAAAACACTTATTATTCTTTTAATTTTGGGGTGAAATATTCACTCAGTGAACATTGTGTATGTCTGACGTGCTAGTTCTGTTCTTTTCACTGATTTCTTTTCATTACTGAAAAGCAGGGGACAACACGGAGGGTGTGCAATTTAAATGAACAGAGAGAGAGAGAGATGAAAGGCTGAGAAATGGCATTCTGGTCTGATTCATATGTCTGATATACCTCTGAAGCTAAATCAGCTTCATGTGGAACTGCATTCCATAATTCAATTAATTTATAGCTAGGCTTATTTTTAGCATTTGTCATGCAAGTTTGTCCGCTTTTATGTTCGGTAAATATTCCATGTAAATCATGAATGAAGTGCGGTATAAGCTCTTAGCTCTTTTAAAAATGAGTCCCATTTCAATTAATATGAGTAATAATGGTTTATCAGAGCAGGGGTGGGGGGACTGTAGAGGCTGCTGATGGAGAGTGAATAATACCCAACCCCCCTACCATAATCTGCACCAGGATTCATTCTCTATCACCACATTAGAAAGTGCGTGTCTCTCTAACATCATACTCTGGTACATACAGATCTGTCATTGGTAACCACAATGGAGAAGACACTTCATGCTGTGGTAACTATGATATGTTTAAAGTTGGAGATTAATGAGCCATCACTGTCCATTCTGTGTACAGATGCCTGAAGCTGCCCATACAGGGGTCTAAAAGTCTGATACAACATTGAGAAACTGGGATTCAAACTATAATTTGAATCTAAATAATAAACAAAGTTTCAGGATTTTGAAAAATTGGTGACGTGAAATCTTTGTACAGATGGATAGATACATTTGCTTCCTATTATCCAAAATATGGTTTTACACAAACTTCTAATCTTGAGTTTATGCAGCTCAAGTGCTGCTGTCATTAAAACCAAAGAGGGATAGTACAAATACGTAAAGATTAATGTAATTTCTAAAGTCAGTTGTGGCCTGGAATTTCTGTGCTGATAATATATTTAGTAATGAACTTGTTGAAGTATAAAAGTGCAAAATAGAAGCATTTTTCACTTGTAGTCTCAGGCTTTTGGACCTCACTGTATGTAATTGTGGGTAAAGTTTTACTGTTGAAAGCGATTGACGGATACTTTCGTTACTGTGTTTGCTCAACCATGAAATGCCCATTTAGTTGATGGAGGAATGGATTAATTTGTTTGTGAGGACCAACCATAAAAATTGTGATTTTTAAATGAAGCTCCATCCCATATAATTTTTGAAATGTTGTCATTAGGTTTGACAGATCTGTGAACAGATTTACTTCAGAGCTGCTTCTGTCTCACATCTCAGACCCACATATTATGGGTCTGGCTGAGACCTGGTAACAATGGTGGAGGCAGGTGTCTATGAAACATTTTTATTACAGAGTGGAATATTAATAGTGGTCATGCTTCACAGTACATGGTTTAATTCAAGTCCTTGATGAACACCAAAACGAACAAGAGTAACAATATTAATTGTTGCTCTTTTAAGAAGGCACTTAATTAAAACAGCTCCCCCCTCTGCCTCATTATAATTTTTGTCTGGGAGCTTCACACCACAGCAGGCTGCTCGTGTTTGGCTTTACAAATCATCAGCTGTACAAACTACAAAGTGTGCTAATACGATGAGTTATCTCTGCTAATCTTGCCAAAAGCACAGAGACTCCAGGGATAGTTATGAGCCTACAAATTCCAGTTGTTGGCAGTTTCAGGGCTCTTTCATGACCTCTAGAGCTCGTGGGAAATGTAAGCCGGTCCCAGTGAGGTCTCAGTGGGGTCTAGGCTGACGTGAGAGAGCGAGTGGCTGTGTCCGTGAGTGCGTGAGAGCGTGTGGTAGCGCGTAGAGGACGACTCTGGAGACGTGCACTCTTGCTCCTGCTCCGTGGCTTGCTCCGATGCTGCCCCTCGAGTCTGATTTCCAGTTCCTGTGGCGGCTCCTGCGCCATGCATCCCTCCGCTGCCCTTTCTGTGTCTCTCCCAGGCGGAGCTCAACTTTACTGCAAGAGCCAGCAGGTTTTTCCCCAGGAACACCGTGGACACCCGTGGGTCCCTGTACCACAGCATCCCGACCCCTCTGGGCACGAGCGTGAACAGGTTAATGGTCACCAGGCTGAGCCACGGATAGATGGCCTCCTTCCGAGCCGCCTGGAGCCCAGGCAGCGCAGTGGCACCCAGCTCCGTGAGCGACACGCATGGCAGCAACAGAAACAGCACGTAACAGTAAAAGAAAACTATACCCTCCACCCAAAGAGGAACCCCCACACTTCCCTGCGCCTCCCACAGCCCAGCTTGCAGATCCAACACATCAAGCAAGTCAACCACCACCCACAGAAGCCGGCTGCGCACCTCCTGCTTCCTTCGGAGTGGAGTCATGTAATCGGCTCCTGTCAGGATGAGAAACAGTGAGGGCAGGCACACAGAAAGTAAAAGAGTCAGAGTCTTGCGGGCAAGAGGATCCGGGGGTCGTCTCTCCTGTCTGTAGTTCTGACACACAAAGAAAAGCTTCAGCTGCAGCAGCGAGAGGAAAAGAAACCAGAGAGCGTTGGCGAAGCCCCGGCGGGGAGAGCGAGCCTCCGAAACCACACCGGCGGAAACGAAGCGCAGTGCCAGCAGGAAACACAGGTCACCCAGCGCGACGGCGACACATGGCCATACTGCAGGATGGGCTCCGCCTCGAGGTCCCAGCATGCTCTGCTCCAGCAGGTAGAGGTCGACCACGGCCATCGTGCTCACTGTCACCAGAGTAGACACGCACACCTGGGGCGAGGGCAACATGCTTGAGGAAGAAGGAGAAACAAGGACATAGTCAGACTCTGATGACTCATTAAGAAAAGAGACGAGGATGGTTGTAGAGGTTATATCCTGATAAGGACATGGCCTGCATGATTATGTGCTATTACTAGGCTGGAAAGTACAGAGAAAAGTGCAATTTCTGAGTAAATTGGCCATATATCTTCAAAGCCTTGAAAGTGCATGTACGTATTACTATTTATGGCCTTCTAGTCCATTTTTATGGACTGAGCAAATTGCATGATTTTCTGCAACGTGCAGGTCAACAATAGACTATTCATGCTTTCCCTTGAAGCAGCTTCATTGTTTGGCAATGTTTAAATGGGAGAGGTTTTCTTTTTCTGCCTTAATATCAAAGGTAGTTGCTGAATGTCGGTACCGAAGGTCTTGACAAATGTAGTTTGCAATCCTGTTTGTGGCAGTACTGAGTATATAAGCATTTGCTTGTTTTAGACAGGGTGTTAGGGTGGTCAGGGTCTTTTTTTCATCACTTCATAAACAAGCATATCTTTTCTGCTTCCAGTCTAATTTATTTTTCCCAGTTGATGCCTCAGATATAATAGAACATGCCAGAATTTCTCTTTCTCTCTTTGTGTCTTTCTAAATATGATTTTTCAACTCATGAAAATTTTAATTCCTTCATCTTTTCAAGTGTCCCAGGTTTTCTGCATAGTATATAGCACTTATGTCAACCCGTGTTCCCTTATTAATTAATTATATCGAAGGGAACCCAGACACACTTTCAAAGCCTCCTTTCCTCATGGCTTGCCTTCCGTGCTGGTTTTCTGTCACATATTGCGGTATTTAATTGTCTTTGGTTTCTGTATGAAGCATGACTTGATCAAGTCTAATTCACTGGCTCCTTTTACAAAATGAAGCTTCTGAGTGCATTGGGCCACCTGCAAAATGGCAACGCTCAAACTTAATACTGTCCGAGAGGTGTTGTAATAACACTGCATACTGATGTTGATTTTATTCATGTTTCCTCAGGCCATATTTCAGAAACGGACAGTGTAAAACTGTGGTATTGATTAATGTAGAGAAATGATTGTGGGCTTTATGGTGAAATCGAATGCAGGCCTTCTCAGCCGGATGAACTCAATGGCTGGTGCACTATAGCCGTCTGACCATTTGTTTCTGATGTAAATGTCAACACCTCAGATTGATGGCTTTTTAAATATAAAAATCATTACTGTTGTGGATATACAGGTGTCAACAGGGTTTAAGATACAGGTTTGCTACATTTTATTTTATTGGATTTTTCAGCTTAGATGTTACAACTACACAAAATGAATCATTCTCCCAAAAATGGATGATATGAGGGAGAGTAAATTATGACAGAATTGTCATTTTTGACAATTAGGTGAGGATACATAGGGAGAAAGTGTAAAAGCACAGGCGACACGCTTTGGGAAAAAGGAGATGTTATGTTAGAGAATTGTTGATGAGAATGGAAATGGAAATATATTCATAGCTTGGGAACTGTAGAAATTAAACGCATTAATAGGAAGTGTGGAGGAAATGAAGGGAGTATGTTGGTAAATGACCTAGAATGATTAATCTTCTGTGAGCTCTGTGGAATGAAAAGGGAGTGTGTGTCACTAATATCTGATTTTGACTGTAGACTTTATTTTTGTCTCTGTTACTGATTTTCTGCATTGGAATTCAATTGAATCCAATAGTCTCAGACTATGAGTGTTGAACTCGGGCCACATGATCCTTAAGAAAAATGCTTCTGCAAAGGACACATATTTCTTTTTCAATCAGAAAAATGATAGAAGTTGTTTTAAAACAAAAAAAGAATTGAAACCCAGAAGGCTTGCCTGTAGGTGCAGAGCTTATCTTTTGACTACACTGTCAGCCCATAATTCATCAGGTTATCAAGTCACTTGGAAGATACTGTGTTGTTTTCTGCAGGCACATTCATAATAACTAGACATCAGCACTGACAGTCAGTGCATCCTTAAGCATAAGTGATGGCTTAAGGCTGCTGGTTACAGTGCATAATTTATGCAATTTTGCTGTACAAATGTGTTCTTTGATCTGCACTTGTATTTAGTAAGCCACCGAAAGATGTGCCTTGAATAGTCTTTTGATGTACAGGCACTAATGCATCTTATATTCAGTATGCATATGCTTTGAATGTTGCAATCTAACGATCATTTTATTGTGTCTAAAAGCAGAATTAAATCAAAATTCTCCATATCAGACACTTAAACATAATAACTAACCTATATTGGCTATTTGAGTCTCAGTAGTTTTAAAGGGATATAATTCACCCAAAATAAGTCATTTTGAAGAATATTGGTAACCAAACCGTTAAAAAAAGAGACATGAAAAGAAAAGTCATACAGGTTTGGAATGACATGAGGGTGAATAAATTATAACAGAATTTTAAACTATGCCTGCAGTGTTTTATTTAGAGGATAAGAAGTAATGTAATGAAGTAGCCTAATGTATGACAATGTGAGAAGAACTGTAAAAGCTTCTCCTAATTAACACTCGAAAGTGACGGTCATTATTACTGGGTTAAATATAGCGTGATAAATATTGTAAATGTTTAATTGCTGTGTGCAAGTGCCCATAATCACGTCTACCTCTTGGAGATACTCTCTGCTGGACTCATGCCACATGCCCTCATTTACGAGTAAACGGCTGAAAATGTCCGTCGGTAATGTGCCATTGAACCATTCCCACACAGAGAAGATCATCTGTACAGTGAGAGCATCAGTGTTCGCGAATAAATGGCATCATCTGTCTTGATGCTTGTAAGTGTCGTGCTGCTGCCACTGCAGGACATGCGTGATCAGACCTGTACCACTTCAATATATCACCATATTGCGACAGGTGTCAATGCATTAGGATCTGCCCATCCGAACTGGCAGGTGTCAATCTCGCCAACGAGCTTGTCAGCAGTGAAACATTTGAACTTTCAGACTTGAAGGCTGCATGAATAATTGAATATCAAGCTGCAAGAGAGCTGAACTTCATGTAAACAGGATTAGATGAAGTAGAGAGTGTATTTACCCCACAGCATGAAGACTTCACACAGCAGTCTCAATCTAGTGACCAGCGCAAACCTGCAGGCATCAAGACGATATCTGAATCCAGTGTCCAAAATCGCGCCAGTAGGCTAATAACACTGTACGGCTGCTCAGCATAACTAAACGTGGAAAATAATCCAAAGAAGTCAGCCACACCGAGCTCAAAGACTACATTGTCCATAATATAAACCCTGGCGTGCAGTTTATTCGGGCGAATTAGTGACGAGGAAAGCAGCCTTTCTGTCTCCTGACTTTCTTTGTCGCAAAATCCTTATATAATCGGCATGGGGTTTATTCTATTCTCTCGACTCGAGCTCCATCAGGATCCTTCGCGGTCCATCCAGACTCTCAGGCGGCTGCGATGGAGCTTTTTTGTGGGCTGAGGAGTAGAAGTCCCTCAGAAGTGCGCTAGAAACGTCTTATCCGCTAAATCCGTAACAGAAGCCGCTTTTCTCCGAGTATCTCGATGTCTTCTTCTTACTTCACTAACGAAAAGGCGCGAAAGAACGCGCCGCGAGACAGTTTATGATTGCAGTGTGTCATTTGTAGGCAGCTGACGTGCACTTGTACCCCTCCCTCCGCTCGCTCTCTAACTCTACCGCTTAGCTGCTTCTCTCTAAGCCTCTCGGATTTCACTTCAGATAGCAAGCGGGGATATTTGAATGGCCTCGTGCATATTACATGGGAGGCACCATCCGGAAGGGTCCGCGCTACTAATTACTGCTGCTAGTGCAATCATTGCTATGATAATTACATTGTTCCAGGCTGGAGAAAACAACACCCCCGATGTCCCTGCTGTTAGTGACGAATGATTGTGTGCTGAGATGAACTAGAAGGTCCTTTCAGATTGGTTATTTGTCATTTAACAAACACTTTTTTATGTAGAATAACTAATTGCATGGGTGGTCCCCTGGGTTAACTGTCTGACTGAAGATGGGTGACTGCATTGCATAGATTACTAATGAAGTCTTTGTATTATAAGGTGCACTCAATATTTTTTTTTATCGCTGTATGTAAATTTTATATTTAAAGAATACATTTTTAAAAATCATGTACAGGCACATCAGCGGCCTAATAAAAGCTGATTAATTTTTTTGGAAACAGGTCACCTATAGACCTACTTCTATGCCCGTATTTCGAGGTATTGTAGGTAATACAAAAAAAGATCTGCACAGTGTTATTCCCCCTTTATTTAGAAAAAGTTAAAAGTGGCAACCTTTCGGTCAAAGACCTTTGTCAGGCACACGTGTTATTAGGTATTGTAGATAGACAATTCCAATTTAGTCCCTTAAATTGAGCAATATGTTGTAGCTTAAGCAACTATATCTCACATTTTGATCGTGGTCAGACAATCAATGCTTATGCTTTAAGATCAAAACACATTTGTCAGTATCTTTTGTGTCTTTATGGATGCAGCTAATGCTCCAACACCACCCATGCCTAGAAACTTTGTTTTGCAACTATTGGGGCCAATTATAAAAATATTTGTGGCTGAATCATTTGGACCTGGAAGCAACACGATTTTCTATATATCTACCAATTCCTGTGAGCCAGGCAATCATAATTCTTGAAATATCATACTCTAAACATGACATCCCAGATAAGACATTTGTTGGAAATAATGAATACTTCAGGGGGTTGAAAAAATATGAAAAGCAAGCTGTGAACATAATATGGTTCAACATCAGCCCTATCTGATTTTACACACACTGGCCCCTTTGAAAAAATACACACATCGGTCCATTTTAATTATGTAGAATAAGGAGGAAAAGTTGAGGCGGAAACTTAATATTAATGAGTCTGAGGTAGGAACTGCTCTTGCATGATCAGAGCACCAGTGTGACAGGAGATTGAGCTGAATCTCGTTATCTGTAAAATTTCTCCCACGACTGCTCTGACAGGCCAGTTTCCGTTCTCTTTGTGGCCTATGTGAAATCAAAGGTTACTTCTCTTGTATTTTTTCTTTACAATGTTCACCTCATTTATTAATGGTGAGGGGTCATCTTGGAGTTTTAATCAGCCAGATGGGAAAGAAAGGCATAGAGAAGGCAAAGTCATCTTTCTTGTCACAGTCGTCTATGTGCACCACTGGTTTCCAGACATTTTCCATTCCTTGCCTTCGATATTTTTTTCGCCTTTTTTAGCCCCACCCACTACTCCATTCTCCCTCTCCATCTCTATCGCCATCTCTCTCACTCGCTCTCTCTCTCTCCCCATGGGGCTGAAGTGGTTGAAGGTCACTCTGATCTGGATAGCTTTCAGCACGGAGGGAGTGAGAACGGCGGAGAAAATGAGACAACAAGAGTCCAGCAGTGCACAGTCAACACTTTCGCCCCCATAAAGTTGGTAAAGACTTTTATAAAAAAATGCCTTTTGGAAATGTTACGGGCCTGATTGGTGCCCCAGGTGTGCACTGGCAGAAGTTCGTCCCAAGACATTCCTCACTGCATCCATCTGCTACGCATTAGAGCTCTTAGCTGACACCACACATGCTCTCCAGCCACAGTGAAACAATCTGTCTTACAGACTGGAAGATTCTCCCAATGAGCGCACGGCTTGATATACTGTTTTTGATCATAAATCAATACCTTAAAGTCCTCCTTTTTTTTCCCGGAACTTAAAATATCTATAAATCTTACTATTAAAACCAACCCTGACTCAACTGATAATGATACTCGGTTAATTATCAGTCTTCCTGATTAACCAACTGCAATGTTGCAGAGCTCTGATAAGATAAGACATTCTCTGATGCGATGTAATTCTCTGAAGAGTGGATCTGAGGAATTGGGCTCTTTACTTTAATAACATACGTTTAATGAAATCTTTTCACACTCGCTGATTTCCATCAGACGTTAGACATCGGCACAGATACATACGGCTCCCTCAGAGCACTGCTCCGGGTGTGTGTTCACGGTTTGTGTGTGTTCACTGCTGTGTGTGTGCACTTTGGATGTGTAAATGCAGAGCACTAATTCCGAGTATGGGTCACCATACTTGGCCACATGTCACGTCACTTTCACTTTCACTTTCACATACTTATTGTCCCTTTTAACTTTTCAATGCCGCGGAGCCTCATGCTGTGTCTTAGACCTTCACCCTGCGTTTTAATATCCGTAAATAAATCTGTTTGTTTTGCTGTAATAAACCGATTTCAAGGCAGCACACCTCATATTCAAGGACACGGTGAGGCTGCATCCTCATCTAGAGGAGCAACATGTTATTTTTTTCTTCCGACTGAAGTAGGTATAGCTATCAATATTGACTGAAAAAAGGCACCGTAAAATTGACCCGAAAATAATGTGTCCCCGGTGGCACGTCTCACCCTGTGGCATTCGCTTTGAACGCATTAATCATCACTGTTTGTACTTAAAAAAAAAAAAAAAGAGAGATGTGTTTTTAGATGTGTTTGAGGTTACAGGGGAATTTGGGATGATCAAAGATAAAGCCATTAGCCATTCTGACAAACTTTTATGTTAGGATTCCACAATATCTGATGCAAACATTCTGTGATCGCCCGTGGATCATTAATCCTTTTTGCCCATTTCTCTCCTGGGGTCTCCAACTGCATGTTGGGCTGGACTGGTTGGAGAGTCTGAGGCTAATCAGCTGTATGACACCCTTATAGGGAAGAATGTAATAAAACGGGAAGAGTTCAGCACATTAAATTAGGAGAAGTAATTAATTAGAGTGTCTCACACTGCAGAGTTTAATTAACCCCTCTTCTACACCCCCCATCTTTCAGGACTCTGGCGTGGGCAATGAATTGCCGTCCTTGGGTGCCAGGGGCAATTAATCCTGCCTGCTGCCCTGAGGCCACGTCCCCTGTCATGCTTGTGTACACACGCCCTTTTTTGCACTTCTGTTTCACTCACCGTTACATATCAGTGCGCACGAGGAAGGAACATGCAGTGCCGTGTCCTCTAAATCCCACACAAAGAGAGCCCTCTAAAAGAAACTGTAGTTATGCTCTCCCACTTCTTTATCTCACTCTTTACTCTTTATATCCTTTTGTTTCATATTGTCTCTATCGTAGAAGGATAGTCCACTCTACAATGAAAATTCATTCATCATTCTGTCATCATCTGCTCACCCACATGTTGTTCCGAACCTGTATGACTTTCTTTATGTTCATCGAACACAAAAGGAGTTGTTCTATTAGTCGCACAGAGATATTGGATGACTACATGCGACTTAGAATATAACACTATACAGGCCACTTTAATACAATGTTGTTATTGTTAACTAAAACTATATGAAATAGATATGAAATAGAGTTCAAATATTAGATGATGAACTTAAAAAAAAAAAAACTTTAACAAAAATTAAGAATGTTGCTTTGGCTACTACCTATAATGAAATAAGTTGGAACTACTAAAAATGACTAAAATTAAATATAAAAAATGAAGGCTAATTGGAAATATTACAAAAATTAATAATACTGATGAAATCATACATTTAAAAAAATGACAAGCACAAAATTACTACAACATAAACCAAATTGAAATGAAAACAGAAACTATATAAGTAAAAGCAATTCAAAATATTAAAGGGGTCATATGATGCTGCTAAAAAGAACAGTATTTGGTGTATTTGGTGTAATGAAATGTGTTTATGCGGTTTAAGGTTAAAAAAAAACATTATTTTCCACATACTGTACATTATTGTTTCTCCTCTAAATCGCATCATATGACCCCTTTAATAAATGCTATATTAGTATATAAATAATATTAAAATAACACTGCTTTAATGAATTTTATGGTACTATTGTATGATTTTTGTTAAGCTTGGAACCTTTAGCTGCTTTTCATTGTAATTCCATGGAAAACTTCTCTGTTTGTGTTTTGCAGATTTCACAAAAGTTACACCAGCATTAGGGAGAATGAAGCATTAATAACACAATTAAATTTTTGTTTTGGTGCACTATCCTTTTAAGTGCCTCGTTTTGCTGTAATTTCATTTTATATATATATATAGCAATTCCCATCACTGAAGTTTTTTGTCCAGCATCTTCTGTCCTTTCTTATGTGAACTGTTAACCATTTTAATTTGCTTAATTTCTTATTCATGCATTTAATTACGCAGGTTTTCACTTAGTTGGAAGTCACACTGTCCTCTAATGCCTTCTCCTCAGAGGCTTTGCTGTAAAGTGATTGAACCACTTGAACCCACCACCGTGCTCCTTTTCCTTTTGCTTCTCTTTAATGGAATGAGCTCGCAGCCCTCACACATGCATTCTTTATTCATGCGGGTCCCCTATGTCCTCTCCATACATCAGCGCTCTGAAGCCTTTCACCCGCTTTGTCAAACGGACCTCCTGAATGTTAGTATTGATCTTCATTATTGCTCTCATAGGAGACATGACTCGAACGAAACACTGTTCTTCTCTGTCCTCACAGGAAATATGCACACGTGTGTGCAATATTATTAGACACTTATATATGTGCCCCTCAATCTGTTACTTCAGCTGCCTGAAACAACTGTTAATTTCTGAGTCTGTTCTCACTCTTTTTGTCATTCATCCATGTCAGCGGCCATCTCGTTAAAAAGAATTGCTGAAGCTGAAAGCTTACGTTATAATAATGAAAGAAATGCAAAGCGGGAGAACTGATGAAAAGAATGAATAAAGGAGGAGATGTTTTGTGAATCACAAACACAATTCGAATGCAGATGCCATGCACAACATATATTAGATGAAGGGGTTTTTAGTCTGGTTATTAAATTATTCCCCCTGTTAGAGAGTTGTTTGTCTCCCAAGAACATATTTCATAACAAA